AAGACCAGACCTCACTAAAAATGAGGTCAACACTCTTCTGTCTCGCCATCCTCTGCCATCATCAAAATTGATCATACTGGCGCTTCTCTGTTGGAAAAGGCATCTGTCATCTCAAACTCCACAGAAGGTAAAAAGACCATGCACTTGCCATTTTGGGTAAAGGTTTTGGTATTTCTGAACCTGTCATGCTGCTTCCTACGATCAAACTGCCACAATATCTATAACAAAAGATGACAAACATCCATCAACACTAAGTCGCACTATACCTGATTCTGCATCTGCTTGCACTAGACACCTCTTGTTAATGCTGATCGCGTTCTCTTTCTTCAACCATGCTAGTGGATATGGTCGAGGATGTCTCTAATTCGTGATGCTAAACTTGTCCACCATCAGTATGCCACATTCTTACTGCTACATCCATCGATGATGACATTGCGTACTTTTCTCTTTACAGAGCAACGATGTAGAATATATTGTGGTTAAGCCACTGCTGCTCAGTCGGTGCCTTAGTTTGAATGACTCATCAAATTACAAGCATATCGCTTTCATCTGGTGGAAATTGGTTCTTCTCACCCTTCTCTTCAGCTATCTCTTTGCTCATCAATTCCTCCAAAACAACCTGCTCGGTGAAGGACACAACTTGATCATTGGACAACTAGAAATGATGTGTCCAAAACCATGACATTGAAGCATTTCCTGGCTGGTATTGTAATGACCGTGCTATTTTTCTCATGCTTCTTCTCACTTGGAGTGACTCTTTCATGCTCCTTACTTGTCTGCTCCACTCCTCGGGGCATGCTACTCCCGAGGTTTCAAACTGTGGGTGGTTGCCTGCTTTAATTCAATTGGCTCTTCACTTTCAGTGCTAAGATCTGCACGTCCCTCAATATCTAATATAGTTGCAGCGGGTTCACATTACTGATGGTGGGCTTTAGGCTTCCCAAGTATGGTTTTAAAAATAAGGCCGGATCGACTGGTTCAACCTTGAACCGGTCAGCCAACCGGTTCCGCCCAAGCTTAGAACCATTTTTGCATATAATCGAGATTGAACTGGTCAAAACCAGGGTTGAATCGATTCTATTTTTAAAGAACTGACCGATTAAACTATTATTCAATTTTAGTATTTTAATTTTGATTTGATGCCAAAAATAAGTTGTTTAAATTAAATATAGCGAAAATTTCATGACTTCAATTTTTATTTAGAATATTATTCAAAATATTTAAAAATTTATAAAGTACAAGCACAAACACAGATACAACAAGATACGATTCGACGACACAACATAATTGAAAAAAATAGAACACGATATGGCATAAACACATTTTTTATATTTAATAAATTATTGATATAAATATATATTTTAAATATTTTCTATTAAAGACATCACAAAACAACCAATGCAATCATCAAGAAAATATTATGATCTTAGAAGTTATTTTTAGCAATATCAAAATATCAAAAAATTACTAAAACACTTAATACCAATGTCATCCATAATAAAATATAACAACATAATTATCATTAATTGGAGTTAATACATTTAGTAGTGGTGTCATCATTTGTGTTAGCTCTATTGCCCTCATCAATGACACGTTCACCTTCATCACAAAAAACACTGTTTCTAAGAATGGCTCATCAAGAGAAAGATGAGTAACTTCAAGGTTTCCAACATCCTCCATCGTAGCCAAGACATCTTCACCAACATCCCATAATTTTGTGCCTCCTTGAGAATATTGTGCTCCTCCTAGATAGAGGATAAAGATTAGTACGAACAAATACCAAATCTTCACCTCAGTGCGGAGTAATTTTGTTCCTCTTAAGTGAATTAATAAAAGAATATGTACTTTAGTTTCTTTCAAAACAAGAAGATGAATACAGTTGAGCCAACAATTTAAAATCTAAACTTTGCAGTTGTGGGGAACTTGCTCCATAAATCATCTACCATTCCTTTCCATCCATAATAGCTCTATAAGCTATGGAGTCATGATTAGAAAAGACACCAAATTAACAATAGATCTTTCTTCAATGTTTTAAAAAAATCGTCTTTTAAGCATTTATTTCTCTCAATTGATATCTCCATGACTTTATGTGGTGCTTCACTTAGCCAAGTGTGATTATAATACCTAATAAAAAAAATACACTTACAAGTGATAAAATTAATATAAGTTAGAATTAATAAAGAATAAACATCAAATCAATACTACCTTTAATTGAGAGAGTGAGCTAAATAATGAATAGGCGTGTTGCTTTAATTCCATCTTTCTACTAAAATCTCATATACAACTTTATAAAAACTGGAGTTTTCGTTGTCTCTCTCTTTCCCTCATGTAGATATATAACACTTTTTACCTTTTCTTTCATAAAATCCACATATTGTAGATAATGTAGAGATGAGTTTTATCTGTATCAACCAATCTCAACATGTCGTACACATGTTCTATAAAATCAATAACATAACTAATTTAATCTCACCACACATCATCCAAGATTTTTTACTTCACAAATTTTATCTTGTTTATATCATCTTCACGATATATATTCCATTTGACACTTATTACCATTATTTGTAGCCCTTATTTTATTGTTTTGAATCTTCTAAACAAGATTATACTTGATGCAAGTCATTTTCAACTTTACAAACTCATTGGATACTGATAATCTCATTGAATGATTCATAATAAATGTTTTTATAACATTGACATCCCTTATAATGTCAATTGTTCAACTGCATTGCTCATAAGTTGTCTTATTTTCTTATATATTATTTATTACACATATATTCTTCAATGCTAAGTTCAATGCATGAACAATACAAGGAGTACAAAAAATATTAGGATATTGAGCCCCAATCAACACTCCTGCAGCTTTGCACACAAGTGCATTATCAGTGATTATTTGAATAACTTTATTTGAACCTACGCCCACAATTACTTTCTTCAATTTCATTGACAATGTAGAACTTATCTTTATATGCCCTATCACAGTTAATAACTTATATAAACATTGGTCCAGATTCCGCGATGCCCATGAAATTAACGAGAGGTCTTTTTTGCACACTTGTCCAACCATCACAAACTATTGTAACTTTTTTCTCATTCCAAGTCCCATTTATAAGCTCAAGCAGTTCTCAACATGTGCTGTCTTAAACAAATAATGTTGTTTTTAACAAATTATAACCAGGAGGAATATATCCAGAGATTGTGTTGTTAGTTGAATATTAGAATGTACTAAAATAATATGAATTTCTTGCCAAATGAAATGCAAGAGCTAGAGAATATAACATTCGAGCAATTTCTTCATGCAAATAGTCTGTCTTGCAAATTAAATTCTCTTTCTATAACACTATTACTCGACTTTTTTCTTTTCTTATGATCATAAACATAACCTTCCACTCTAAATTCCACTCTAAATAAATGCCCACTCGACTAAGAGCTAAACAACTGATTAGAACTACTTTGTCTGGGACTGGAAGAAGGAATTGGAACCTTCTTAAATGCAACATTTTTTTTTTCTGTTCTGCATCAACATCTAACTCTACATTTTTTTGAATTTATGTTGAAGTCATTTTAGGACAAGCTCGAATACCAACTCCAGATTGTCGAAGCAGATGTGCTATAACCCTATAATATGTTCTCTTGAACTTTTCTTGACAAAAATGACACTGAATTCAATGTTGCCTCCTGCACCGATTGATCCAAATTTATTTAATTTGGTGACATGCCCATAATGGCTTTGTCTTGTTCTCAATGGGCTTGTTAAAGTCACTTGTAGTAGCCATTATCCTATTAATTAATTGCAGAAAGTAGAAACATTTAAAATTCACACATATATATAGTAAATAGTAAAAGGATAATGAGGCATTTAGATATATAATTCAATCATAATTTTTGATCTACAACAAAAACAAAGCACCAAATTTCATAGTAATTGTATGTGGGAGGAAAAATGTCGGTGGCCTTTTTTGTTTGGTTATTACAGTACATATAGGCTTAAACAAGCTCAAACTTTATCTTAATACAAAGAGTTTGGTTCAACTCAATTATTATAAAAGTGGGAAATTTACATACATACAACCCAGTTCTGATGCATTAACATCCCTAGCACCTAAACCTCAATTATTTCATATAGACCACCTTCCCTATGCATAAAAATATGTATTTCACTGTTTAAACGTCAAAATGGTGGTTTTTTTATGTGAAATGAAGGATTTAGGTGGTATGTATGTAAATGCCCAAAAATTGAAAAGAAAAAACCATAATTTTTGTATAACTTTGCAATAAAAAAAACTGTAATTTTTTTAATAAAAAAACTGCAACATTTTATATCCCGGCTCCTGTTGAGAAAAAACAAAGGTTACCGCTCGCGTGGATCATCCCTTGGCTCCCGTCGCCTCTGTGGATCGTCTCTAACTTAGCGTCAAAGCTCTGGATCATGGGGGAGTTCGCATGGAACCTTTGTATCGTGCTTTGGTTGATGCCCTAGCTAGATTCAAAGCTTAAAATTGTGTTGAAGACTACCACGCTTTGATTTCGGCTACTCGACACTCGACGATGATGGCTTCCTCCCTGCTTGCTTCGACAGGTGACTGCAAGGCTTTGGTAAGACCACAACACCTTGCAGCTTTGATTTTTTTGTTTGCCGCTTTGGATTGTGCTTCACCACTCAGTTTTAATTCCCGTGTTGGTGTCGAGCGGTGTCCGAGCCGTGTCGAGAGAGGTGTCTGGGAATTCAAATGTGTCAATACGTTTATTAAGTGTCGGACACAGTATCGGCCCGTATCAGAGCCATGTTTGTGTCTGACACGATCTATTTGGGAGTGTAGGTGCTTCATAATAAAAAATGTTATCTTAAATTAAAATATTATTT